ACTAGCAAGCATACTGAATAATCAGATGAGGGCCAGTTTGCTACATAGGTTTTTATTTTTTGTTCTGACAATTTGCACTCACATTTGTTTTGCAAGTGTATTTAAGTTCCTACAACATCAAGAAATTGATAAATACCTGTATACTTAGGTGTTTTAAATTAAAAGAAAATATTTACTATGAGTCATATTGTGATTATCTGTTTAACTATCTTTTTCAAACAATGTAATTGTCAGTCCCACTTCCATCAGGTACCAGGTTTCTGCTCTAATCAGGACTTGAGTGAAGTGCTGTGAAGGAAACTGACTGGGTGCTGTTAACAGAGAACAGCAGGGTGGCCTCCTTCTGGTGGTTTTTGAAGGATGAGAAGAAGGCAGTCAAGCATATATGGGGGAGCAGAGGTCTAGGTAGAAGTAATAATACGCAAGATGCATTAGTGTTTTAAAGGGTCTGACAAAGAGGATGAGAAGAAAGGGAAATGATGAGGTTATACAAGATCACACAGGACTCAGTGAATGCAGCCCCTTAGAGACCAAGTGAAGTGTACACTTCATTCAAAACATCTTTTTTTTTTTTTTTTAAGATAGAGGCTGTAGTCTTTGATCTTCATCAGTAAATATTTCAAGTCCTCTTCACTTTCAGCAAGCAAGGTTGTATCATCTGCATATTTCAGGTTGTTAATGAGACTTCCTCCAATCCTGATGCCACGTTTTTCTTCAGATAACCCAGTTTCTCAGATTATCTGCTCAGCATACAGGTTGAATAAGTATGGTGAAAGAATTCAACCTTGTCGCATACCTTTCTTAATTTTAAACCATTCAGTGTTCCCATGTTCTGTTCGAACAACTGCCTTTTGGTCCAGGTACAGATTCCTCATGAGCACAATTAAGTGCTCTGGAATACTCATACTTCACAATGTTGTCCATAGCTTGTCATGATCCACACAATCAAAAGCCTTTGCATAGTCAATAAAGCACAAGTAAACATCTCTCTGATATTCTCTGCTTTCAACCAAGATCCATCAGACATCAGCAGTGATAATCCCTCATGCCATGGCCTCTTCTGAATCCATCTTGAACCTCTGAAAATTCTCTGTCAATGTATGCTTGCAGCCATTTCTGTATTACCTCTAGTAAAACTTTACTTGCATGGCCTATCAAAGATTTGTCCTATGATTTCCACATTCCATTGGGTCACCTCTCTTTGGAATGGGCACAAATACAGATCTCTTCCAATCAGTCGTCAGATAGTTGTCTTCCAGATTTCTTGGCATAGACGAATAAGTGCCTCCTGTGCTGCCTTACTTTCTTGAAAGATTTCAATTTTTATTCCATCAATTCTTGGTGGCTTGTTCTTTGCCAATTTTTTCAACGCACCTTGGACTTCCTCCTTCATTGGCTCTTGTTTATATGCTTCCTCTTGAAACGGTTGAACATCAACCATATCCTTTTGGTACCATGACTGTGTGTATTCCTTCCATTGTCTTTTGATGCTCTCTACATTATTCAGTAATTTCCCCAGAGAATCCTTCATAACGAAAGTTGAGGCTTGAATTTTTTTTTAGTTGCCCCAGCTTGAGAAATGCTGAGCGCGTTCTTCCTTTTTGGTTTTCTGACTCCAGATCTTTGCATATTTTGTTATAATATTTGGTTTTATCTTCTCGAGCTGACCTTGGAAATTTTCTGTTCAGCTCTTGTACCCCTCCTCATTTCTTCAATTTGCTTTAGCTTCTCTATGCTGGAGAGCAAGTTTCAGTGTCTCATCTGACATCCATTTTGACCTTTTTCTTCTTTCTTGTCTTCTTAATGACTTTATGCTTTCTTCATGTATGATGTTCTTGATGTCATCCCACAATTCTTCTGGTCTTCTTTCTTTAGTGTTTTTTGTATTACAGCCACCACTTGTCTGTCAGTTTGTCATACGGTGGTGGCTTGTGAGTTGCTGTGATTCTGGAAGCTATGCCACCAGTATTTTAAATAGCAGGGTAACCCATGGTGGACAGGTTTCAGATGAGACTCCAGATGAAGATAGAATAGGAAGAAGGAGTGACAAACTACTTCAGAATGTTTAGTCACTAAAAACCTTATGAATAGCAGAGAGTGTTTTGTCAGATATAGTGCCGGAAAATGAGCCCCTCAAGTTGGAAGGCATTCAAAGTGCGACTGGGGAGGAGCTGCCTCCTTAAAGTTGAGTTGACCGTGATAACGTGAATGGAGTAAAGCCTGTGGGATTAAAACCTGTGGGACCTTCATTTGCTGATGGGGCACAACTCAAAATGAAAAGAAACAGCTGCAAACATCCATTAATAATCGGAACATGGAATATATGAAGTATGAATCTTGGAAAATTAGAAATTGTCAAAAATGGAGTGGAACGCATAAACGTCGATATCTTAGGCATTAGTGAGCTGAAATGGACTGGTATTGGCCATTTTGAATCTGACATCCACATGATTTCCTATCCTGAGAATGACAAATTGAAGAGGAATGGTGTTGCATTCATTGTCAAAAAGAGCATATCCAGATCAGTCATGAAGTACAACGCTGTCTGTGATAGGATAATATCCATGCACCTAAAGGGAAGTCCATTTAATACCACTATTATTCAAATTCCCACACCAACCACTAAAGCCAGTGAGGATGAAATAGAAGAATTCTACCACCTACTTCAATCTGAAATTGATGATCATTACTGATGATTGGAATACAAAGGTTGGTAACAAGAGGAAATATTAGCAGTTGGAAAATATGGCCTTGGTGATAGAAATGATTCTGGAGATCTCATGATAGAATTTGCAAAATCAATGATTAGTTCATTTCAAATACCTTCTTTAGACAGCATAAGAGACGACTATACACATGGACCTTGCTAGATGGAATACATAGAAATCAAATTGACTACATCTGTGGAAAGAGACAATGGAAAAACTCCATATCATTATTCAGAACAAGGCCAGGGGCAGATTGTGGAACAGACCATCAATTGCTCATATGCAAATTCAAATTGTAGCTGAAGAAAATGGAAACAAGTCCACGAGAACCAAAATATGACCTTGAATATATCCCACCTGAATTTAGAGATCATCTGAGGAGCAGATTTAATACATTAAACACTAAAGAACATACAGCAACTTAAATGGAAATGTTTGACTTTCAGACCTGTGTTATCCTGAGTTATTAATAATAATAGAGTTTGTTTCCGTCTCCAAATTGGTGTATTCAGTACCTCTGATGCATGCATCTTAGTCCTAATTAAAAGTTCATTTTTTAGTGTTCATCTGTAATCTCAAGTTCTCTAATAATTTAGATTTTAGAGAATTTCATGTCTCTTGAACTTCTACAGTTAATGGAAAAAAGTGTTGAGTCTACAAGAGTAGTTGTGCTGATGAACAGAAAGTAGGAAGGTCAGGGCTGGAAGGAAAGAGACATAGTTGTCCCACTTGTGGAGCTAAAGGCCCGAGTCATGGGTGTGGTGAGCTGAGAGACAGTCAGGGAAATTGGAACAGGTATAAGGGGTCCAGGCAGAAAATGCTGGGTTACTTTGCCATTCCCCAGCTGAACAGGTAGAAAGAGTTGACAGAAAGTGCTCACGTCCTCAGGCATTTGCTCCACAGCAGCCTTGCTGACATTGATTAAGCACTTTGCATGGGGGAGACTTCAGTCTTTGATTCCAGCAACCTGGGATACAGCTGCTGCAGCTCTCTTCCTTGACAGAGAAGGATGCCTGAGGTTTATAGAACTGTCAGGTGTCTTGTTCAGGGCTCACACAGACAATGAGGGGGATTCTCCCATATGCCTACCTGTTTTTCTAGCCTGCAAAAGTGACTTGATGTAGGCTTGTGGAAGCTCTCACTAGGGAAATTTTTCTACATAATAAAAGAAAGCCCTTCTTTTCAAATTCAAGCACACTCCCAGTCTTTTCAGAAGTTGAGAACTGTGTACCTGTTTCAGGGTCTTCTATAAATGACATACTCTGTCCAGTTCAGTAATCCTTAAGGAAATATATTCTGTATCCTCACACTGTGTTCATGCAGGGAACAGGAAGGAGATGGAGACGGTGCCTCCTGGTTCTGCACTTCTCCAGTTAAAATCATAACATATTCAGTGAATTCTTTTGATTTTACTTTAGGATTTTTGTTTCTATTCCCGATTGCTTTAAAAACAGACATTCCTAATCTTCCCATTTAATGTTTTATATACCAGTTATGTTGCTCTTACTTCTGGAAAATCAGTGTGGATTGTGGGGACCTGTAATAAATAGGAGTCCTGGTATGATGCTGTAGAAAACCACCAGGTGCTCCTTGGAAACCTTGAACAGGGTCGTATGAGTTGGAACTGACTCTAAGGCACTTAATAATAATATGATACATTGTGGTTTGGAACTGTTGGATAAATATTAGACTGCAGTGTCAGTTTGATTCAGAAGGTTGGTGGTTCAAATCCACCAACTGCTCCTTGGAAACCTTATATAGGGTTGCTATGAGTCAGAACTGACTTGAGAGCATGTAATGACAACAACAAAACCTTTAGGGGAGTTGAGAGGGCATTGTAAGATGTTAAGATAGTTTCAGAGAAGGCCATGAGACAGGAAGTGTTGATGCCAAATTGTTCTGCCCAGGTGCATGATGGAAGGTGAAAAATACACAGAAAAGAACAAAGCCGCTTTGTTAATGTTTTCCTGTCTTACTCTTGGAGACACAGTCCTGCTTAAGGGCAATAACTATCTAGCTGCTCTCTTCCTTCCAGCATTTTCAGGATCCCTCGTAGTCTCTCATCTTGTACTGCTTCCTCAGATTTTCCTGGGTAAAATCTCAAATCATCACCTAACCAAGGAGTAGTTAAAACAGTTCCTGAAATCAAGTAGCCAGTACTTGTTGGTTCCTCCTGCACTTAGTTTTGTTGTTAAAGGAGCGATCTGGCCTTTGTTTTGGTAGTTGATAGAGAATGTACATTCATGAGGTGTCTGATTATTTACTTTTATTTAATCTTTTTATGTTATACAGCTTTACCCAGAAATACCCGCCAGTAAAATTTTTATCAGAAAAGGACCGTAAGCGAATTTTGGTAAGTTTGCACATCTGATTAATATTTCTAATATTAAAGAAATATTCTTTTATTGTTGAATGTAATTCACATACCATAAAATTCACCCCTCTGAAGTGTATAATCCTGGTGTGGTGCTGTTGAATAAGCACTTGACTGCTAACCACAAGGTTGGTGGTTCAAATACACCAACTGCTTCTACCAACTTGACAGCACGTAATAACAACTAAAAGTATATATATAAGTCAGTGGCTTTTAGTATACTTTTAAAATTGTACAACAGTACCCCAGTTGAATAGCAGAACATTTTTATCTCCCAAGAAGGAAACCCCTAACTCATTAACATATTAACCGTCACTTCTCATTGTACTTCTAGCTCTTGGAAATAACTGATCTCCTTTCTGTCACTGGATTTTTCTGTTCCCATGTACATAAAACCATATAATATGTGGCCTTTTATGTCTGGCTTCTTTGAGCATGTTTCCACGGTTCATCCATGCCATAGCATGTATCAGAACTTCATTCACTTTTTTATAATTGAATAATATTCATTGTATGTATGTATACACATACACCATTTTTTCTTTTTTTTTGAATTGCTGGAGATTTGGGGTTGTTTCTATTTTTGGTTATTTATAGTTAGTTCTGCTCTTAATGTGCATGTATAGGTTTTTGTATGGACCGTGTTTTCATTTTGGGGATGCTGTGCTCCTAGGTTTGGAAATACTGGATCATGTGGTAGCCCTGTGTTTAACTTTTTGAGGAATATTGAAACTGTCTTCCTGAGCTATGATATTTTAACTTTTCTGGTTCACTGAACACTTTGATAAACTTGCTGGTTAATAGTTTCTTTGTTACACATAGTAGCATAAATTCACCAGTAAGAGTTTACTGTTGTGTAGCAAAGTATGTACAAAGAGATTAGCGTCTTTTCCATTCTTTCTTTTGAAAAGCTATGCTATTGAGATGTAGTTTACAGAACATGCAATTCACCCATTTAAAATGTACAATGCAGGGTTTTTGTATATTCAGAGTTGTGCAGCCATCAACACAATCAATTTTAGAATATTTTCATCACCTAGAAAGAAATCTCATATACATAAGCAGTCAGTCCTCAATTTCTCCAAGCATTAGTCAACCACTAATGTGTTATTTGTTATTCTGGGTGTTTCCTGTAGCAGGAATCATACAATCTATGGACGCTGATAATTGACTTCTCTCACCTTGCATAATGTTGTCAAGGTCTATCCAGGTTGTAATAATCAACTTTATTTACGAAATAATATTCCATTGTATTTCTATAGAACATTTTACCCATTCATAATCTTGATCATGTACTAACTGTTAAGGAACCCTGGTGGCACAGCGCATTAAGCATTGGGCTGCTAGCTGCAAGGTTGTCACTTTAAACCCACCGGTCACTCGTTCCGCAGGAACCATATCTTCTTTGGAGAAATGTTTCACTCATACTTTATCCACTTTTTTGTGTTATTTTTCTTTGTTTATATTGAATTGTAAGTGTTCTTTTATATGTCCTAGATACAAGTTCTTCATCAGTTATATTGCTTGCTAATGTTTCCTTCCATTCTCTAGGCTGTCCTTTCACTTTTCTGATAACCTGGTGTGGTGCTGTGGGATAAAGCACTGGACCGCATATCGGTTTGAACCACAAACTTGCCAGTTCAAACTCACCAGCTGCTCCTTGGAAACCCTATACATACAGGACGCTGAGTCAGAACTGACTCAGTGGCACTTAACAACACCAACAGCAATGTTTCCTCCCATTCTCTTGGCTGTCTTATCCCTTGAATCACAAGAATTTTTAAGGTTAATGAAGTTCAATTAATTTTTTCTTTTGTTGCTTGTGTTTGGTATCATATTTAAGAAATCATTGCCTAATTCAAGGCCACAGAGATGTGTTTCTATGTTTTCTTCTAAAAATTTTATAGTTTTGTTCTTATATTTATATATGCGATCCATCATTTGTTAGTGTTTTTATATGGTGTGTGGTAGAATTCCAAATTTTTTTTTTTTGCATTTCTATATCTGGCTATCTCAGATTCCTTTGTTGAAAAGACTATTATTCATTCTCCATTGAATTGTCTTCGCAATTTGGTCAAAGAATCAATTGGTCATTAATACAAGTATTTTCTAGGTTCTCTCTGTTTGTATCTTTATACCAGTCTTAATTCCTGGGCCTTCATGTGGTGGTGGTTATGAACTGTGGAGTCAGTTCCCACTCATAGCGATCCTGTATAAGGTTTCAAAGGCCATAAATCTTTACGGAGGCAGAAAGCCTCATCTTTCTTATGCGGAACAGCTGGTAGTTTGGAACTGCTAACTTTGAGATTAGCAGTCAGTTTGAAATTGGGAAGCGTAGTTTCCAACTTTCCTTTTTTAAAAAATTTATTTTGGCTACTCTGCATCACTTGTATTTGCATATGAATCTTAGATCAGCTTGTCAAGTTTTTCAAAAAAAGCTCTGCATTTGATAGGGGCTGCATTAAATCTATTTGTAGATTCATCTGGGGAGTATTGCTAGCTTAATAGTATTATGTTTTTCAGTCTGTGAACATGAGTTGTGTTTTTATTTATTTAGAGTGTTAGTTTCTTTTAATAGTTTTTTTTGGGGGGAGGTGGTTTCAGAGTAAAAGTTTTGAACTTAATTTGTCACCTTTATTTCATAGTGTTTTATTCTTTTTGATGCTATTATAAATGAAATTGTTTACTTATTTCATTTTTGGATTGCATGTTGCAAGTGTAAAGAAATACAATTGACGGTCATAAACACCTACTCCTCATTTATCCACATGGTTAGGTTCCAAAGACCAGATAGTTAATGCAAAGTGGGTATTATATGAGACTCAGGGGTTGTACCCCTTCCTGTCCACTCACTGCCTGTTGGGTGCCCCCAGCACATCTTGGGATGCATGTGGTATAGTGGGTCCCCCTTCCTCACCACCATAGAGTCTGTGGGGTTGGGGTAGTAGTGGGCCAATGTTGTCTGTACCCTGCTCCTCCTACTGCCAGCCCTGGGTGGGGACTCTGTTCATCATCCACCTGCCACCTGCTCTAGGTAGGGATTTGAGCCTTCTCATTCTTCACCCACAGACTTCTTCCTTCTCTCCTCCCCTCCCACCTTCCCAGCACCTTCAGGCCCTAGCCCGCCCACAACCTCATGTCATTCCATGGTGGTTCATGCATTCCACGGCTAGTCCAAGATGTCAAAGAGGAACAGGAGAAGGTATCATGGACCACTTGTCTCTATGTGGCCCTGTTAATTCAGGGTCTTTCTTGTGTTGTTTGGGGTGGCTTGCAGAGGGCGTTCTAGACCTGGTCAAGGCTCTACACCATTGAGAATATGTTCAATGTTGTCATAGATGCAAAATGTCAGATAACGCAATAGCCAGTAAGTGAGGAGGAGGTCATAATTGATCTTTTATCAACCTAACTGAATACATTGGCTAGTTCTACACATTTTAAATGTATTCCTTATTTATTTATTTATTTTTTGGATGTGAGATCATGTCAGAGTGGTTGGCGAGCTCAAACTGCTGACCTTGTAGTTAGCAATCTGGTGCTTATCCTACTGAGCCAATGTGCTGATAGCAGACAAAAAGATAATTTTTCTGTTTCTTTGCTGCCATGTATCAGATTGATTAGAAAATATGACCTGCACTGCTTTGGAAACATTACTATTATGTGAGACGATTATCCTCTGGGTGCTGAGTGCTCTGGACTTTGTTTCAATTTACGGATAACCATAACACATGGGCTTGGTGTTTTTCAGACTTCAGACATCTGAAAGGTTAAAGCCACACTGTAGAGACATTTGGTACCTCCTTCCATCATGCAAATATATTGTTGCTAAAACTTAAAGCTTTGTCAGCATTTGTTAAAGCCTTAACATAGAGAGGTTTGTTTGAAAAGACATTCTTTTTGTTAATTTGCTGAACGTCTTGAGTTTCAGTGCTGACCTTGAGCTAGACCACTTGAGCTGTTCCTTAGCACACATAAGAGCAAACAGTAAAAATACATCTATTTTATTGTAAGAGGTTTTCAGCCTTTTCTTCTACTATCTTTTAAGTATTAGCTCTTTGCTATTCACAGGGTATGCTTGTGTTTGGTGATTCATTTTTCTGAGGAAGCTTTGTTAAGTGCTAGGCTTCCTTCACTTTTGTTTCTGTTCATATTTTAAATGCTTGCTTAATGGCCTGAAATTGATTAGGAGAAAAATTTACAATCATCCAGCTATGTTGCATGAATCTCCACATATACTTTTAGATCAAGGGGAATTACTCAGGAAAAACAATTCAGTGCGTTTAAATCAAGATTTAGGTGTGCTTTCAAACAGTTTTATGCAACCACTAAAACTAGTGAGAGGTTGGAGGCAGCCATGTATAATTCAGTACAACATTTCTGCTAGCTCTGAGCTGTCAGCTAGGTATTTTGGGTACAGTGATAAAATTAAAGTGACACAGAGTATCTTATTTTAAGTAACATTTGCATAGAGCTGTAGCATTACATTAAAAGCGCCTAAAGTTTTATTTTAAAAGATACTTTTTCTGATTAAAAACCTAAAACAGATGGAAAAATGTAATTAAATGAAGATGAAATAAAATACCCTTCTGCTTGAGTTAAGATCTAGTATTGAGGCAAATTTGAAATCAGTTATTTTTCTGGGGGAAATTAGTTTTTCATAGTCATTGTTCAGTTATACAGATAAAAATGTTAGGAGTCTAAAGAGAAAACATGAACTAGCAAATTGACAGGTAGTGGAGAGAACGTGTGTTAGGGAAGCTGCAGATCTCAACCATTATCAGTGATCTTGATAAAAACTCAGCTGGTTTTGGTACCTGTCTCTCATCTCTAATGCAAAGGGCGTTTGGAAAATCTAAGGTGCTATCAATAAAGAATATATTTGTCGGTGGTGTTAGTGCCGTCGAATCAGTTCCGACTCAGTGACCCTGCGTAGGGTTTTCAAGGAGCAGCTGGAAGGTTTGAACCACTGACCTTGCGGGTTAGCAGTCCAGTGCTTATCCTACAGCGCCACTCCAGGACTCCAAGGCGAAATGAAAGTTGTTGATTAGCAGGACTTATTGTCTCAATTATTATATCACATTCTGGTAATATTTCATAAAAGCCTCTATTATCTAGTTGGTGGTTGAGGAATAATTCTTTTCGGAGTAGGCCTGCTATTCTGGCCCCCAGCCTTCCTTATCCAGGGCATCTGCTTTCACCTGTAAGAAACATAGCAATTATTTGTGAGGTTTTACTTGAATAGAGGACTTAATGATGAATCAAATGTTTTAAAATCCTAGACCTATAAGGATTTGTATGAGTTTTGTGGGGGTTAAAAGAATTGGTATTCTCCTTACTGGCAATTGGTTTAGTTTGAAACATGGGGGAAACTAGAGTGGAGGGTAGTGTTGTTGTTGTTGTTGTTGTTAAGTGCCATTAAATCAGTTCTGACTCATAGCGGACTTGTATAGGGCTTCCAAGGAGTGGGTTGCATGTTTGAACTGTCAATCTGGTTAGCAGTTAGCAGTTCAGTACTTATCCTACAGTGCCACACCAGGACTCCAAATTGTGTTTTCTGTGGGGTATTCTTTTCTTTCCTACTTGCAGTGTCCTTCTCTGAAAATGAAGCACTTTTTATCTGGTGGTGGTGGTGTGTCTATGCCGTTCAGTTGCTTCCAACTTATAGTGACCCTCTGGATCTTTATGGGAACAGAAAACCTCATTGGTCTCCTTCAGAGCAACAGGTGGATTTGAACTGCTGACCTTGTGTAATGTGTTATGCCACCAGAGCTTCGTACTTCTTACTCTAGCCTCTTCCAATTACACTGTATCATTTGGATAAAATCTTTTTTATTTTATAAAGACATAATTGCCTTTTCACACTTGTTGTAGTTTAAGGTTTTGGAGACATGCTTTTGCTGAATTCCTGCTTACAAGTTCTCACTATATAATGTTTCCGTTTCTGTTCAGGCATTAATCACACTGAGAATTCAATCATCCGCCCATGCTGTATTAACTTGTTCGCATAAACAATATGAAAGGCAACTATTTTTTGTGACATTTTTGAGCCCGGTTTAAATATCACATAAACTTTTGGTAGGTCACGAAGTCTGTACTTACTATTTTTTTTTTAAAGTAATTCTCAACTTTACCAATGTTGTTGTTGTTGTTTAATGCTGTGGAGTCAATTCCAACCCATAGCGACCCTCTATAGGGTTTCCGAAGAGCAGCTGGTGAGTTTGAACTGCTGACCTTGAAGTTCAAACGGCTTTGAAGTCTGGTGCATCAGCCCACAGCGCCACACCATATTAGAACTATTTAAATACTTTTCAACACATCACATCCATTATACAATAAAACGAATAATATTTTTCAGTGTTGTATCAGAGAAAATGTTCTGAGTACTTCATAAGTACTATGTTTTCTGTATTATTCACTGAGTGTAAGTGTTAATTTTTAGGTTGGTCAGAAGTTTGAAAGGAGCCCTGGTGGCGCAGAAGTTAAAGCACTTGGCTGCCGACCAAAAGGTCAGCGATTTGAATTCTCCTGCTGTTCCTTGGGAGAAAGCTGTGGCAGTCTGCTTCCATAAAGATTAAAACCAAAAAACCCGGACCCACTGCCATTGAGTCAATTCCGACTCGTAGTGATTCTATATAGGGTTTCCAAGACGGTAAATCCTTATGGGAGAAGACAGTTTCATCTTTCTCCTGGAGTGGCTCATGGGTCTGAACAGACACCAACTTTGCGGTTAGCAGTCCAATGCCTAACCCACAGCACTACCAGGTCTCCTGTAGCCTTTGAAACCCTCTGAGACAATTCTCCTCTGTCCTGTAGGGAAGTTACTGATTAAAATCTACTAGACACCAATGGTTCTTTGTTTTGTTTTGTAAATAAGCTTGGAGATAGTATGATTCATTGCTCTGGAGTAAAAATAAAGATACTACTTTTGTAAGCCGTTTTGTCTTTCTTCCTTTCCCTACTCCCAAATTTTAAGTGTAGCTGCACCAAAGATAAAACTGTGAAGTCTGCCTTCATTGTGTCTTCTTGTGTTTTTTTTTTTTTTTTTTTCTGGGACTGTTGTACACACACTGACCTACTGCAGATCACTGGAGGTGCAGGGTTTGTGGGTTCTCACCTAACAGACAAACTAATGATGGATGGCCACGAGGTGACAGTGGTGGACAACTTCTTCACAGGCAGAAAGAGAAATGTGGAGCACTGGATTGGCCACGAAAATTTTGAACTCATTAACCATGATGTTGTAGAACCTCTCTACATTGAAGGTGAGTGAACATGGAAATAGTGAATGATTGTTAGTTTGAACTTTCATGGGTAGCCTGCTTGAGCAGCGGGATTTTCAAAGGTAAGCCATTGGAATCAGCCATGTTTAGCTTTGTTTTGTGCTTTCTTTGGGGGAATGGTCTTAGTGTCTTAAAAACACTCTCCAAGTTTCTGTAATAAAGTGTGTGGGCGCTATGAGTTAATGTGCTGATCTGCAAGGTTAGTTTGAACCTAAAGGGCAGTGGTTCAAACCCACCAGCTGCTTCTTGGAAACCCTATACAGAGTCGCTGTGAGTTGGAATGGACTCAATGGCACTTAACAACAGCAACATAGATTTTGTAAGTGTCTTATCTTTGCTGTTACTTGGCCCTTTGGATTCTGAAATCTATGGACCTGTTGAAGTAGGACTCATGTAGTACACATCCCTATTGATTGTCAATTCTGAAGCCTATCTCACTTGCAAGGAATTACTTTTAGCTCCTTATAGATTATTAGCCAGCTTGGAATGTTGAATTAATATTTAGTCACATTTCACTTAACATTGCCGCCAGTTCAAAGGAATTATAATTTGGGAGTTTGGGACATAAAATGTCTTCTCTGATAAGGTTTAAGGTGTACTGATGGGAGTTGCCTTCAGATGCTTGATTGGTAGGTTGCCTTGGCTCATAAAGGAGCCCTAGTGGCTGGCACTGGAGAGTAAGCACTGAACTGATGATTGCAAGGTTGGCAGTTCAAACCCACCAGCCTCCTCAGCAGGATTAAGATGAGTCTTTTTGCTCCCATAAAGATATACAATTTATGAAATCCTATATCGGGTCACTATGAGTCAGAATTACAGAGTCCTGGTGTGGCACTGTGGGTTAATGCGCCACACTACAGAGCTGTTTGAACTGCAAGGTCGGCAGCTCAAGCTCACCAGCTGCTCCCCAGAAACCCTATATAGGGTTGCTATGAGTCGGAACCAACTCGAAGGCACTTAACAACAATAACAAGAAGAAGTCAGAATTGACTTGATGACTGTAGGGTTTTTTTGTTTTTTTAAAAAGGCTCATAAAGGAGCCCTGGTGGAGCAGTGGTTAAGCACTTGGTTGCTAACTGAGAGGTCACCTGGTGGAGCAGTGGTTAAGCACTTGGTTGCTAACTGAGAGGTCAGTGATTTGAGCCCACTACCCACTCCACGGGAGGAAGATAAGGCATCTGCTTCTTAAAGATCTGAGCCAATTTGAAAAAATCTTACAGGGCATTTCTACTCTGGGGCAGTCCTTGAGCATCACTATGAGTTGGAGAATTCAGCCTCACATTGTCTGATGCCAAAGCTATTATAATATACCATTGCCTTTCTTGTTGCAAATATATTCCCATGTCATTAAAAAATGTCTGCAAGCCCCAGTTTAGTGACTGAGTAGTATTTTGTTGTCTGAGGATATGCTTGGGTTTATTCAATCAGCATAGTGGATTATGAGCTAACTGCAAGGTCAGCAGTTCGAATCTACCAGTCGCTCTATGGGAGACGTGAAGGGGTTTGGCTGATGCAATTAAAGTTATAAATCAGCTGAACTTAAGATACATGGATAATCCTGTATTGCCTGGGAGGGATGCTTGTAATCACATGGGTCCTTTAAATCAGGAGGAGGAGAGTTAAAGAGATTTCCTCAGAATGATGCACGGGAGGAGATGTCACAGAGGTTGTGGCTTGGAGGGGGATGCGAATTGGAGAAAGCAGGCAGCCTCTAGAATCTGAGAATGACCAGATGACAGCCAGTGAGCAAACAAGGCCTCAGTCCTACAGCCATATGGAACTGAATTCTGCCAACAACCCAAATGAGTTTGGACTCGAGTTTATGTCTAGATGAAAGGGGTGCAGCCTGGTCCCTGATTTGGTTTCAGTCTTGGGAGAGTGGGAGCAGAAAACCAAGCTGCCAGGCCACCCCTGGGTTTTTGATAGATTGAACTGTGAACTAATTAATGAACAACCTTTAAATCTCAATGCTTGTAATTTGTTAGGGCAGCTGTAGGAAATTTATGTAAGTGTTTAGCACAGTGCCCAGTCAATTTGGAGAATACTCCCTACATGATACCTTAAGTACCAAAAGGATACCAAAATTTAGTAAAATTGGGAAATTAGTAAGAAATTTATCAGTGCTTACTATTATCTTTGACACTTAATAGCTGCTGTAGACCATTTTCATTGCTTTTGGATATAGATTGAATGGAGTCCTGGTGTGGGTTACTGGGCTGGACTGCAAGATCGGTTTGAACCACGATGTCGGCAACCACTTCTTGGAAACCCTATTATACAGGGTCCTATAGATTGGGTAGGAGTTATACACACACAGAACACACCCTGAATAGCTACATAGTAAATGATCAATACTTTTGATCTTGGCCCAGAGTGGTAAATTCCTACAAATCACTTTCTTGTTGGGAGAGCATAAGACATTTCTCTACCCATGTTGCTTAAAGTTCCTAGCCTTCTCCTCCAGTGCCGCTGTCTACCATAGTGTTGAGTTCTGCTGCCCAATCCCCCATCCCGACAGTGCACAATTGACTCTAAACTTCTTTATTTGAGAAGTGTATCATTTGATTCCCTGCCATGGTGCTGTTGGGCTTTTTAAGGTGTCAGTCCCCCAATATCCCCCTCATAAATCAGACCAAAACATGGGTTTGGTGAAATTAATTTCCTGTCATTTTGCATTGTCTCACAGAGGATGGTATCATTTTGTTTCATTCTTTTCTCAATGTGAATGCTTTGAACTTTGCAGTGCAGTGGTAGAAACAATGCACTTAAGCTGTAGCTTTCTCCCTAACTGAATTTTACAGCCTGTGCTTATTCTAAATGAGATTACCGTATGGTATATAGTATGGACAATAAGCACTGAACTGCCAACCAGAAGGGCAGTGGTGTGAGCCCTCCAGCCATTCTATCAATAGAAAGATGAAGCTTTCTCTTCCCAGAAAGATTTAAAGCCTCAGGAACCCTGTATAGGGTTGCTTGAGTTGGAATTGACTTGATGGCACTTAACAACAATATAGTATGTAGTCCAGTCTGCTAGCAGTTATGAGCAAGTTAACGTGTCCTGTTTATGTGATAAGGTAGTTTTGTTTTTTTGTCTGTTAAGTGCCCTCGAGTCGGTTCCGACTCATAGCGACCCTGTATAGGGATTTCTAAGGAGCAGCTGGTGAGTTTAGCCAACCTTATGGTCAGTGCGTACCCTCCAGTGCCACACCTGGCCTTTTTTTTTTTTTTTTTTGCTTGTTAAGAGTGTAAAATTACCCCTGCAGAATATATACAGCTGGCAGTTTTATGCATAACTATTTCTTAATGTCTTTTTAGATTTTATCTAATACAAGACGTTTTCGTTTATCTCTTATTTATACTGTACACAATAGCAGGAATGGCCTTAACTTTGAGAAATATTTTGGTTTATTTTTCTGGGGCTCACAAGCTATTTGGGTTAATGCTGTAATAATGACAATATCATAGCAGTTTCATTGATATTCCTTCACAGATTATCTACTTTTGTGACACAGTGCAGCCTGTTGTGTTTCAGAAGCAAAGATACTGACCACATCATTCTAAGTTATATTTGTAACTGACAACTACTGTTGTCTGGACTCGGAATGTGCTGGATGGATTGAAGAAGAGCAGGATTGTAATGTTCTGAGACTCAAGTTGAGAATAGGGCATAGCAGAATTCAGGGGCATTCTAAAATGATTCAGACAAGAGGTTCAGTTATCTGAACCACACACAAAAATTGTAGGAGTTATGTGGGGACTCTGCATTGTTTGAGTTTAAGTGTAGAGAATAGATATTATTGCATTGGAAAGACCTAACCTTAAGTACTCATTAAAATAACTTATTGTTAGTGTTATATTGCTTTTCAAAAGAACTCTGGATTTTACTGACTAAAGCATTTCCACATGAGATGTTGAATCTACCCTTCAAAACACTTAGCTATTGAAAGAGTAAAGTTAATTATTCTCCCAACCCATCTGATACGGGTAGTGCAAAATTTCTGAGAAGCAGATTTGGGGTTAGCAGGTGAGTGAAATGGCAGATCCATCAAGAAGGTTACGTTGGAGCTGCAGCATTGGGGCGGCTGTTCAGAGGGTTGGGGGTGACTGCTTGGCCAGTGGGGACCTCTGCTGAGAAACCAGGACCTCTGGAGGGAGGAGGTTCCATGTACTCTTGTAGACAAGAATTGATAAAGCACAGAACATGAAGCAGTGATTCTTGAAGGGTTTTTAGAATTAAGGCTAAGTACTCAGGTAATAGGATGCCCATTGAATGGATAAAGTGTGGTGTATGAAGGAAACAGTTTAATTGAGCTTATGTTCTTATTTGGAGTCTCTGCGTGGTACAAACAGTTAACGTGTTTGACTTCTAACCCAAAGTTTGAAGATTCGAGTCTACCCAGAAGAAAGGCTTTGGGGGCTCTATTTTTGGAAACCGTACGGGGGCACAGTTCCATCCTGACACACATGGGGTTGTCATGAGTCGGCGTTGATGGCGACAGTAACTGGTTATGTTCATTTGATTAAGAGAAAAAGCATTAGATTCTTTGCTTATTTGTTTGATAAAGAATGAAGTAGAAGGAATCTTAAATTCTTTTCCTTTCAAAAGATACTCTAAACATAACAGTAACTCATAGTTGTTGAAGAAAATTTAGAAAGTATTTTTTAAAAATAGAAATGTTTTCCTAGTTCTCTTATCTAAATGTGTAACCTTTTGATATTAATCTCCAATCATTTTTCTAAATGTAATTGCTTTCTGAAAAGACAAAAAACACGTTGAATAGGCAAACTGAGGATAAATAAAGAAATACTGCTACAACATCACAGAAGCCCCTATTAAATCAAAATATCAAAATGTGAAGCTATTGTTTCTTGACATCTGCTCCCCATCTAGTCTGTACACTTCTGAAGACCATCTTTTTCTCTCTTTAACCTTTCCGTAAGGAATTCTGTTCTATTTGATTTGTACCACTTCAAAATGGCAA